CTCCTCCTCCTCCTCCTCCTCCTCCTCTTCCTCCTCCTCCTCCTCCTCCTCCTCCTCTTCCTCCTCCTCCTCCTCCACGCGGCCTTTTCAGTGGTCATAAGTGGTCCATCTTCACTCTTTGGCTAGTAGAAAAAACTGGTGGGGTGCAATCCATTCCGTTTATGACCGTGTCCAATATTATAGTTCTCTGGGGTCTAGCAGACAGGGCTGGCACATAATCGGAGATGAGACACCCTCCGTTTCAGACTTCTCCATCACCTTTGACCTTCTTTTCCAGTTCATAGTTTCGGGATCCCTGTCTGTGGCGGCTGCCAAGAACCCCAAGATTCCACTGGTAACTCATCTCTTTGTGTCTTTATCTTTACATCACCTCATGTCTGCAGATGAGGCTGCCTGCTGAGTCAGGCCAATGGACCAAGTCGCTTAGGATGGTCTTCTCTGACTGGCTCTCCAAGGTCTTGGGCAGATAACGCTTTCCCCATGACTTGCTAGCTGGGAGCCTGGGGGTGCCAGAGATTGCGTAGGGGACCTTCTGCATGAAGCAGATATGCTACCACTGGAATGCAGCCTTGCCCTGTAAAAAGCGGCCCTATGCTGAATTAGACTGTAGTGGTCCATACACTCAGTATTATCTGTTCTTCCTGGTCGTGGCCAACCAGAATCTCATGCAGAGAAAGGTTTTCTGCAACCCCTGCAACCTGAGACTCTTTAAAGTCAGAGATGCTGGTGACTGAACACATGAACACACATGGAGACTTGAAGACGCTGCCTGACACTCAATCACATCCTTAGTTCAGACCCTTAGACCAGACTCAGACCGGCAGCAGTTCTCCAGCCCCTCAGGCTGAGGCCTTTCACATCACTTCCTGCCAGATCCTTTTAACTGAAGGTGCCAGGGATGGAACCGAGGACCTTCTGCATGCCAAGCAGATGCTCTACCGCTGAGCCACAGTCTCTCTTCAAGTGAACCAAGGATCAAGACGGGGTTGAACCAAGAGATATCAAGAGGCAGTGGTGGAGCTGCCGGGATCCCAGCTGCGGCATGCAGGCACATCACTACAGAGTGTCTCGTGAAACTCACTGCCATGCTCCAGAAGACATGCTCCATCACTGCTTCGGCGGCTCCACCACTGCTTCCCAGCGGTCTGCACTAAGGGTGCTGCCTTTCCGTCTCCCATCAACAGCACTTACTGGTGGAAGGGACGGTGGGATATTTCCCGTATCCTGCCTCCCAAGCTGTTGTGGCTGGGCACTTCGAAGGCGTGGGGGCAATCATAAGGAAAAAAGATGCCAGTGGAATCTGGAAATATGAGTTCAGTGCAAGAAGTTTCTTCTGCCCCAGGAAGATGAAACACAGAGGGTGCTGGGTGTGGCTGAGGAGGAGCCTGGAATGGCCCGAAGCAGGAGGAAATTGTAGCAACAGAAACTTGCTGGTCAGATTGTGATGGTTCAGGACCTGGGAGAGCTCCTAGGGACAGCACAGTTGTTCCAACAAAGTGTCTCTAGAGCTCTGCTCAGATGTGACAGGGAACTAGGGTTGCCAGGTCCTGTCCTCTTGCCGGCAGGGGGATCTGGGGGGCACTCCAGGAGTGGGCGGGGATGTCTCTGATGCACTGACGTCACCCAGAAGTGAGGTCATCACATCGGTGACGTTGGGGGCGACACTCTGGGTTTTGGGCAAAACTCTATGGTAAAATCAGGGTCAAACCATAGAGTTTGCGACATCCCCAATGTGATGACATCACTCCGGGCTTTTTTTCCCTAGGGGAACGTGCCAGAACGGAGTTCCAGAACCTCTTCAACAAAAGTCTTTTAAAATTTTTTAAAAGTTCATGAGTTTTCAGGATACAGACTGGAAACTTCATTTCCCTCATGAGAGTTCCGGCACCTCTTTAAAAAACCCCAAAAGCTCTGATTTAACTTCCCGGTGATGTCAGGGGCAGGGTTCCCCCCACTAGCCAGCAGGCCAACAGCGGGCAGAAGCCCCCCAAACCAGGGGATTACCCACCTGGACCTGGGGAATGGCAACCCTACAGTGAACACAACACACATACAATCGGCATGGATATGTGGGTAAGAAAGAGGCAATGTGCATTCTCTTTACAAGCAAAACTGGGACTAGCACCTGGTTAAATGAACACCTATGAAGCCGCCTTAGACTGAATCAGACCTTGGGTCCATCAAGTTCAGTATTGCCGACTCAGACTGGCAGCGGCTCTCCAAGGTCTCGGGCAGAGGTCCTTCACATCACCTGCTACCTGATCCTTTTAATTGGATACTCCAGGGATTGAGAACCTGGGACCTTCTCTGTGACAAGCAGATGCTCTGCCGCTGAGCCACGGCCTCTCCCCAAATGTGGGGTTCGAGTCCCACAGTGAGTCGTACATCTCTTGAGTATAACATGATCATTGCTCAACACACGTATGAAGAAAAATCAAGTGTATGCTGTATGTGAATAGTGCATGCATTTTATAACATGCATAGGGCTGAAGTCACTGGTTTATATCCCTAAATATGGCTTACCATTGCCAGAGTGCCACCTTTTAAGTGAAACTAAGAGGAGCTGCGGTGGCTCAAGTGGTTAAGATGCTGAACTGCAGGCTGTGGAAGGTCGTTAGTTCAGCAGTTCGAGACCCGGGTGCCGCATGACGGAGTGAGCTCCCGACTCTAGTTCCAGCTCCTGCCAACCTAGCAGTTCGAAAGCAAGAAATTGCAAGTAGATAAATAGGTACCACTTCGGTGGGAAGGTAACAGCATGCCGTGCGCCTTGGTGTTTAGTCATGCCGGCCACATGACCACGGAAACGTCTTCGGAAAGTGCTGGCTCTTCAGCTTTGAAACAGAGATGAGCACCACAACCCTAGAGTCGGATTTGACTGGCTTACGAGCAAAGGAACCTTTACCTTTACTTTAAGAGGACGTACTCCGAGATAGATCTGGTGTGGCACTGCTTGGCCCATTCCCAGCAGCTCTAAGTTCCCTCATTCAACCTTTGGCAGCTTCCACCCCCGGGGTCCCGTAAAGCATTTCCTTAATTTCAAGCACCACAAAGCGATCCCAGAGAGATTCCTCAAGGTCATTGCCTAAGGAGGTCCTGATCGGAGAGATCTGGGGCCTAGATATCTCTTGTTACATGGTTGTCATCTTCTTAGGTGAAAGGCATGCTGGGAGTGAATGTGGCGAGTGCCGTGGCAGCCGGCATCGGGCTGTTGTTCTTCGCTACTTCCATGGATGAATTCTTGCCGTGGGCCCATCGCTGGGACCGTGGCTGCTCAAATCTGAATCGAGAAACATATAAACTCTGCTACGAAGCGAATGTCATCATTTGGGTGAGTGAATTTCATCTTCTAGCCAGATGCTGGGCTTAACAAGGGTTTCTGAGAAGGGAGAGACCATGGGAACAGCATTCTGCTCATCACGTGAACCCATGAAGTTGCCTTTATCCCGAATCAGACCATTGGTCCATCACGGTCAGCACTGTTTACTCTGATATGCAGGAGCTCTCCAGGGTCTCGGGTAGAGATCTTCATATGGCCAGATTCTTTAACTGGAGATGTTGGGGATTGAACCTGGGACCTTCTGCATGCCAAGCAGATGCTCGTATTGGCTTAAATGTAATTATCTATCTATCTATCTATCTATCTATATCTATATCTATATCTATATCTATATCTATATCTATATCTATATCTATATCTATATCTATATCTATCTATCTATCTATCTATCTATCTATCTATCTATCTATCTATCATTTGACTTGGAAACACGGAAGCTTTATGCAGTATCCTTGATCCACATCTTCCGGTGAAGGGGGAAATGCTGTTCAAAATTACAAAGATGATCTGATTCCAGTGGTGGTGACAAGAAAAAGAAATTTTACTCAACAAAAATAGAAGCAACTCTTCCACGTTATATTCATGTAGGTACATTTAGCTTATTGTGAACAGATTAACTTCAAAAAAAGGTTGACTCGCTACAGCTCCAAGCCCAGGTAAGAGCGAGAAGAAGAGGGGTCCTATATAAGATGAAAACGGAAGACAAGTGATGGCCAAAGAAGCAACATTTAGCCAACGAAAGGGCAGGGCCAATTGCCCAGTGTACCCGAGGGAGAGAATTCTCTTAATCCCTTTCCCCACCAGATCCTCTTGCATGCAGAGTTGCAATATCCAACGGCTCTACTACAAGCCTGTAGAGCTTGTGTTGGAGCTTCATGCCAGGCTTTTATTGGGTCTACTTGATGAGAGAGAAAGGCAGAGGGAATATTTGTCTGAGGGTCTGTGGTGGGTTTCAGCTGTTCTGGGTTGAACCTCCATAGGGCAGGACCAAACTGTAAGTCTGGTCCTTTAGATAGTCTCCTGTACAGCGTTGCTGAAAGATGGCTCTCTAGAGACTTGAAGATGAGTAGGACCATTAGTCTACCAAGGACCATTGTCTACTCTAACTGGCCGCAGTTCTCCAGCCCAGGATAAGAACATAAGAAGAGCCCTGCTGGATCAGACCAGAGGTCCATCTAGTCCAGCATCTTCTCTCAGACGGTGGCCAACCAGTTCCTCTGGGGAGGCCAACAACAGGGCATAGAGGCCAGGACTTTCCCCTGTTGTGGCCTCCTGGCTTTGGAATTCAGAGGTTGACTGCCTCTGAATATGGAGGTTCCCCTCAGTCACTATGGCTAGTAGCCATTGATAGACTTATCCTCCATGAATTTATCTAATCCCCTTTACAGCTGTTTATTCCTGTGGCCATCACTACACCTTCTGGCAGTGAATTCCACATTTTAATCAGTCTCTGTGTAAAGTAGCATTTTGTCCGTCCTGAATCTACTGCCCATCAGTTTCATTGGAGTTCTAGTATTTTGGGAGAGGGAGAGAAATTTCCCATTGCCAACTTTTTCCACCCCATGGATAATTTTATAAACCTCTATCATGTCCCCCCTTGGTTGTCTCTTTTTTTAAACGAAAAGATCCCTGATTTCAGGATCTATTTCTTGGTTTATGTTGTTTAATTGACTGATTTGGGAAACGGTTGTTTCAGTATGTTTCTGTAAGCTGCTTTGGGTCCCTTGGGGAAGTAAAGTGGCATACCAGAGCCCGGTTAATGTTACAATGTATGTGAGTGCAGTCCATGTACGGGGGACCCTTGATCTGTGCTGAATAATGCTCACACTACATGCAATGCATGTACACCTCAACGTGGAATTTAAACCCCACATTAAACCTGGTTTCGTTTGTCAACTGAACACGCATTGGTTCTTTTTATATAAATAGACATATACGTGCATTCATTGCAACATGGAAAGGGCTAAACAAACAGACAAACTGGGCTGGGCCAGGGCATAGGATGTAGGAGGCAACAGAGATTGATTCCCTGTTTCATTGACAGAACATCGAGTCTGGAGTGATGATGATTTTACTGGTGTTCACCATCATAGAATTGGGCCTCGCCATCACCACCGCAGCCTTTGGGTGTGCCACTGTGTGCCGAGACACCTACAACGAACAGGTAATACTTTAAAAGTGTGGGGACCAAGGCAAACAGAGGGTTCCAAGAGCAGGGACTGTTGTCTAGTTTGGCGTAGGGGTTAGGAGTACGGACCAGGTCTGATTCTCCACTCCTCCACATGCAGCTGCTGGAGTGATATTGGGTCAGTCATAAGTTCTCTCAGAGCTGTTTGCTCAAGGGCAGTTCTCGGAAGATCTCTCTCAGCCCCACCTACCTCACAGGGTGTCTGTTGTGGGGATGGGGTGGGAAAGGAGATTGTAAGCCACTCTGAGACTCCAAGTGAAGGGCGGGGTATAAATCCAATCTCCCCCCCTTCCTCCTCCTCCTCCCCCTCTTCTTCTTCTTCTCCTTTTCCTCCTCCTTATCCTTCTCCAAATAGTATTCCATCTTCAGGTTGGAACCACAGATCCAGGACCTTGGTGGTATTTAGCTGCTGCTCCTTGGTAGTATTTAGCTCCAAGAATGAGCAGTGATCTGGGAGGCTGCTTGTTCAAATCCCGTGTTGCCATGAACAGACAGGACCTCATCCTTGGTAGTATTTAGCTCCAAGAATGAGGCTGCTTGTTCAAATCCCATGTTGCCATGAACAGGCATGACCACTGCAGGGGGCTTTCTTGGCAGTGTCTCTGTTCTACCTAGCTTCACCCCATATCGTAGGGCTGCCAGATCCCCTAGGGAGTGCAGGGGTTTGCCCATTTTCAGCCCCCCAGATCTGCTGGCCCGGATTCGGCCAGCAGGGGGAGCCCCACCCCCAAAGCGCCCGACACGCAGCACTGCGCCTGGCACAATGACATCACCATAGAGTTTTTCCTTAAATGGTAGAGCATCCCCTGCAGCATGCTGTGTGCGATGACGTCACTTCCAGGTGATGTCATTGTGGTGCGTGTGCTTTGCGCATGCACGAAAGAGATCCCAGAGGGGGACTGGGACCCCCCACTGGCATGCCGGTAAGACCTGGCAACCCTACTATATCATGAAATAGGAATCCATCAGGTAAGGGACTTGGAGCCCTCCTTTGCTATCTACCTGCCTAGTAGTATTTGTCCTGGACCCATGAGTCCCAGGGAGGCACACCTCAATCTCCTGTCATGTGTTTAACCTTCACAACAACCCTGTGAGGTATGTTGCACTGATAATCTGGGAGAGGCCCAAGGTCACCCAGCAAGCTCCACAGCAGAGCAACCCACTTTCTAAAAACACCGGGAAAGGTGTGGGTGGGTGCCGTGGCAGCCATGGGCACCACGTTGGGGACCCCTGCAGTAAGGCCCTGATCCTCAACAGGTGGCCTGTGATCCATAGCAGGGGTTGTGTCATAACCAAATATGGGGGTGTACCACTGTGGAAAAAGAGGGGGGAAACAGAAAAAAAGTGAAAAGAAGGCTGATGTATGATAGACCCTTAAATGCAAGTCCCATGTTGGAGGTTGGGAGGTTGAGAAGCCCGACTAGTAGTGCTCTCGAGAGTGCCTGAAAACCAACAGGACCCATTGGCTAGTGACTGTTCATAGCTCTGTCACCCAATTGGCGACTCCCTTATTTAGGCAACCATCGAGTGTTGCAAAAAAGTTTCTCCGGCTGCGGTCACACGGAGCAGTAGCCACGCTACAGAGACGGAAGAGAGGCGGATTTTCCGGGCGCGATCACACCACCACATCTGGGAAGCGTAGAGCTCCCGTGCCGAACCCGAGGCTTCCCGGTGAAGATGCGGGGTAAAAAACTAGTACCTCCGAGGTACTAGTGTCCGGAAACCACGGGGCAAGGGCGGGTGCCTGATCGCGTTTCCGGTGGAATCCCGTGGCATCCGGCAACCGCCCATGTCCCATCGTGAACAGGTTTTTTTCCTCCAAGTCTCCACAGGATGCGCACAAGCGCCCAACGGCGCATGCGCACAAAGAGGTCCCCTCCCACTGCAGCCAGGCTTGCCACCTCTGGAGGGTCGCTATGGCCACTGTCGCGCAGGCGGTTAGAGCGGCTGTGACGAGGGGGCCCACCTCCCCCTCCATTGGCTATGCCTTGGAGCTCTGTTGGGATCCGGAAGCGTCTGTCGCCCTCTCCGGTAAGCCCACCGCCCACCACCCGCCTTCGGATGTGCAGATACGATTGCTCAGTCATGCGTATGCACAAATGTCAGTTAAAAAAAACTATCCTGTTTGCCACGGAAGCGGCGCCTAGCGATTGCTGGTGTGATTGCGCCGCGTCGCTTCTTTGCCGCGCCGCAGGATGGTCGTGTGATCGGCACCTCCCCCCTAAACACGGGACCTCGACGGGACGTCTGATCGTGCAACCACGCTTCCCTCCCGCATTTTCCTGCCCGTGTGACCGGGGCCTCCATTTGGCTTACGTTGCTGAGGTGTTGCTTTATCATCAACTCATTCTCAGCCTCCTTTCCTGCCTCTAGTCTTCCCAAAATAAGTCCTTCCATTTCCCCTCCTCCTTTTTGTTTCTTTTAAGCCTTTACAGAAGTCACAGGAATGAAAATCCAGTGCTTTATGAGTAAAACCTTTTATTTTACTGAAGAAAAGTTTGGCTTGAAATGCCCTGGATTTTCTGATAAAATTTGATTGGCACCATTTTGGTTATTTTCTGTCCTTTCTTTGAGCTTATTGTTGAATTGGAATGGGGCTTTCTTTCTTAAGGTTGTGGTGATTTACCAGAACACAGCCCAGGACAACACAGTCCGTTTCCCAGCTGCTGGTGGGGATGCTGAGACTGTCTGAATGGCCATTCCTTCCATTCATCCCTACCACAAGGCTGTCTCCTGTCTCCCCTTCATTCCGTGGAAACCGGTAACCCTGCCTTCCACACACAAGTATTTCTAACTATTTTGGGCATTGCGCTCTCTTTCTGCCACATGTTGGGAATAAATTGCTGGCTTTGTAATTAATTGCAAAAATGTGCCAAATTCTTTCTCATGCTAAATGTGTGTGTGTGGGGGGCTGTTTTCTGTCTCAGGGGACAGGAGCTAAATGACAAAGCAACGTATTATTTTCCAGACTTATTCTGGGATGTAAATAAAAGCTGGAGCTTAGCATACAACATGCCCCAGTTTTTAAGAGGAGTTGTCAATGGGGGGGGGGAGCAGATATTTTTCTACCAATCAGGGGTCATTTCCTGCAGGAGCGCACAGGAGCGGAGCTCCGGCAGTAAAGAGCCCAGGGGGTGGGCACATGCAACAAGCCCCACCCCCTGCTCCCAGCAGCCCCAGGCCACGAGGAGCAAGAAGCAGCCCTCCTTTACTTCTCTCCTTTCCCTCCTTTCCCTCTTTTTCCT